CTTTCAGGACCCGGAAAAAACTCAGGTGGTTCGACAGGCGACCTATCCCTTGACACGTTCAAGCGGGGAATCGATACCCCGCCAGTTGATTCAATGACAGTCCTTATGATCAAATGCGAACGCGGTTACCATTCGGCTACCAAAACCCATACTGTTCTTCTCCAACTGAGCTAATGAAAGCGAAGATACGTCATGCAGTGTGCTACGAGGGCCTACTCTTATTTTGAATTCTAACGGTAAAGGGTTCTTGTACCTGGACACCAGTGAGTGTGAAAGAGAGGCACAAACCAGGTCATTCCGGGACTAACAATTTTATTTCAATAATTTGCTTGCGTTTAGGGGTCTTTAGCAGTGGGGGAAACCCGGAGAAAACCCACACCATTGGACAGACGATCCTAATCATTGTCACGTTCAAGCGGCGAATCGAAACCGAGCCACTTGACTCAATGACAGACGCCAATGTGTACACGGGACCCCGTTTTTTTTGTCCCATCTGAATGACTACACGTTATCCGTTGCCAGGCCCTCCGTCCTCCATCCTACACAACTGACAAGGGGGGACATCTCCAGAAAAATCCCGATGCACTTTGATGAAGTTAGAGAGCAAACGTCCTACTCACTGAGCCACCGTAGCCCCCACTTCATTTCGATTTCGGACAAGGAACCTCGTTTTTTATTTATACCATTCAAACGACTATACCACTGACAAGCAGGAACCCCGACCGAAAAATCCAGGAGAACTTTGATGAAGAGAGCAAACGTCCTACTCACTGAGTCATCGTAGCTCACACTTCAGTTAAATTCCGGACATGGGATCTCAGTTATTTGTATTCCATCCGAACGACTATACGTTGTCCCTGTCCTAGGGTGGACATCGCCAGAAAAATCACGATGAACTTTGATAAAATTAGAAAGCAAACGTCTGGGCCACCGTAGAGCCAACTTCATTTTGATTCCGTTCACGGGACCTCGCTTTTTTAATCCCATTCGAACGACTATACGTTGTCCCTTGTCAGGCTCTACATCCTACAGCACTGACAAATCCATGCATCAAAAAACCTGATGAAGGTTATTGAAGTTAGAGAGCAAAGAAAGATTCGACTGAAGACTTAAAATCAATTACAGAATACAATACTATCTGTGCAAGAAGAGATAAAAATTGTTTAGAACTATTAAATTTTCTAGAACTTCAAACATTTCCATTTATTATAATCCACGTCCAAATATAAATGCTGATACGGTAGTCAGTGGACATGCGTATAAACTGCACTTCCGAGGCGAGAAGACGAGAAGTTGAGATTGTGACGAAGCGAGGGAGCGAGAACACGAGAGGACGAGATTAACTCAAAGGCGAGGGAGCGAGAACACAAGAACACAAGGTTTTTTAAAGGCGAGAAGTCGAGGGCGAGAGTGCGAGAACACAAGGTTTTTCAAAGGCGAGAACACGAGGGAGCGAGAAGTCGAAGGACGAGGGAGCGAGAAGTCGAGGTGAAAGTAATCTTGTGTTCTCGGGGCGAGATCCTCGTATTCTCGCCCTATTTCCTCGCGTTCTCGCCCTCGACTTCTCGAGGGCGAGAACACGAGATTCTGAAATGGCCGCAATAGGCTTCCATAGATTATGGCAACTTTTATGAATAATATTTGGAAAGTTTATTTTATTACCTTTCAGAACATAGTAAGATGCTAATGATAATCCGAAATTAAACCTCAATTCTGAGCTAAACGAATAGCTTAATAGTGTTCTACTTTCATTTTATACATGTAACGTTGGATTTTATTGGTTGATTAATATGGATGAGTTTGGGCAATTCTGGTCTTTCTGAATAAGTTGCCAACGTAAAGGTTGCCAGCTTGATCGGTCGAATCTGCCGCTAGGCGAATAGGTTGCCCATTTGTGTTCGGTAGCTTTAGTCCACACTGATCCGCAGTGAATATTCGCTTGGCCGCTACAATCACTGATAAGGATGACATCGATGTGACTTAATGACTACAAAATATTAACTTTTTTCTTTCGACAAATTAAATTCTGAAAAAATTTTTTTTTAGTATTAGAAAAATAAATAAAGGTGTTTGAAGTATATCTTGATAAAAAATATTCCATAATTAGCGTAAATAGGTACAGAAAATAGTACGCGGAGGCGTAAAATGGGTAAAACGATATAATTCTGCCCGTACCAGTTCATATTACTACGTTCGATGTAAACAACGCACGTGTGACCATCAATTTGACGTTTTTTTCTGTTTGTTTACTCTGAATTCTTTCAGAATAACATTTTTTACCGTCTAATCTGATTGACCTGCTCGTGTTTGTTTTAAAACAACAAAAACAAGCCACAGAAGTAATCTTTTTTGGCGTTATCGATGTCATCTTGCTTTGTTGGTAAACATTGTGATGTGACGTCACCCTTAGAACTACAGCGATCTAACCTTTTAAAGGTCAGTCATCTTGGACAGAGATAAAAGACGGATGTCGCATTAGGTCTGTAAAACAGATTGGCTTTAGTCTGTTGGACTGAAGTCAACGGACGTTACGCTGAGCGGACGTTTTATGACCTTGACCCTCATCGTCGAAAGCTGCGGTTAAATATGCAAGTCAGAAAAGGAGTGACGTAGGAAATGAAATGAAATGGAGTTTAACGTCCTACTGTTCTGCTCCTAACCTGGGCTAATGAAGACGGGCATACGCCATACAGTGTGCTGTGAGGGAAATTTTGCCCGGACAGCGGCACTACGGCCTACTCTAATATCGAATTCCAACTGCCAAGTGATCTTTTGCGTGCACGCCAATGTGTACACGGGACCTCGGTTTTTCGTCCCATCCGAACGACTAGACAGCTTTCCTTGTCAGCCCCTCCGTCCTGCATCACTGACAAGGGAGAACCACGCCGGAAAATCTGGATGAACTTTCTCGGCCAATGCAGGGATCGAACACCCGACCTCCAGGCTAGCGAGCTAGCGTCTTACCCACTTAGCCACGAGTGACGTAGGAGCGAGTCTGACGTATTAGAGCAAATTATCATTTAGAGCAGGTTGTCCAGTCTATGATAAGGATGACAGCCACAAATATTAACTTTTTTTCCTCCGACGAATTAAATTCTAAAACATTTTTTTTATGTATTAGAAAAACAAATAAAAACGTTTCCTATTTCCTATTTAGTGTAAATGGGTATTGAAATGAGTATGAGTAAAAGGATCCATTCCGCCCGAACCAGTAAGGTCTTCTGTAAACAATGCACGCGCGAGCCAATGATTGACGCCGCGTGATGAGACATCCCGTGTTGAATGTGGCCATCTTTTACAGGGTAATTCCTTTTACAGATATATCCTTTCGTAATCCTCTATGAAACAAAAAAATTGGTGAATATTTTGAACTAGATTTAATCTTGTCTGCCAGAAACTTGTCAGTTAATTATTGGTTGGGTGTAGAAGATTAAAACATGGATCGTATTTATGTCATGAACGTGATTATACGTCCATACATGCTGAACTAATCGTACAGATTTTTATGTAATTAGATTGACTGAAAGCATATTGTTGTAAAGATCTGAAACAAAGGTCTTTCTTTTATCCTCAACTGTTATATGTTTGAACCGTCCTAAATTTTAAACGGAATTCTTCTATATTAGACTAGCCTATTATAGGCCTAGTAGCCTAATAGAATAATGACCAAACTTATTATGGCTATTTTATAAAGTTACCTGTGTGTTTGAAATCACCTCCAGTTAAATAAAATCCATTGTACAACTAAATATCACAACAAATAAAATTGTCCGTCCTCATTTTGTTTGTGGACACCCTACACAGGTCACAATTTTTATCCGATTTTGACGAAACTTAATTAAAATATAGATTTATATCCCAAAGATCTCCGGTCCTTTCAATATTTGCAGATTGTGTTCCCTGATTGTACGAAAAATCACGTTTTTAGGTTGTGGACACTCCAGAGGTCACAAGTTTTATCCGATTTTGAAGAAACTTAAAATGTATGTTTATAACGCAAAAATCTTGGTTTCTTTTCATATTGGCACATTGGACCATAACTTCCTGGATCACATTTTTTATTTGCATTTAAAAAATGTTCAAAATATCTGTTACAGCATTATGATGGTTGAGTTAGAATTTCTTGAAAATCAGACCAAAACTGCCCATAAATAGTGTAAAAGTATGCAATACCAAGGTTGTGGACCATGTAGATGTAACAATTTTTATCCGATTTTGATGAAACTTGAAATACATTTTTATAAACCAAAGATCTCGGTTCCATTCGATAGTTGCCCATATCGGACAGTAACTTCGTAGATTATGGCCCCTAACAATTATTGTACAAAAAATCAAGTTTTTAGCTTGTGGACCCTCTAAAGTCTAAAGGTCACAATTTTTATCCGATTTTAAAAACCGTTTAAATACTGTTACACCCAAACGACGTACTAGAGGTCACAGTTTTTATTTGATTTTGACGAAACTTGAAATATAGGTTTATATCCCAAAGGTGTCGGTTCCTTTCGATTTTGACATGTAACCGACCGCAACTTAATCGATTATAACCCATGATTGTACAAAAAATCGTGTCATTAGCTTGTGGACACTCTAGAGGTCACAATTTTTATCCGATTTTGATGAAACTTAAAATGTACATGTATGTATATATCCCAAAGATCTCAGTTCCTTTTGATATTGACACATCCTTGACTATAGCCTCAAATTGTATGGCTTTTTAGCTTGCTCTCTGCCCATCTCTTGCTAAATGTGGGCGTATCTTGCATAGCAACCGCTTGTTTTTTCTTTAGACAGAAAATTGAAAATGGAAATAAGTTGAAAAAGAGAAAACTTGTAGCAGTATAAAATGACTTTAAAGCCTGTATTGAAAAGTCGAGTTGATGATCTGTTCCTCTTCTGGGTGACGGAATCAGAAACTCAGAATGCTCTCCGCGAAAATCTACGACAGATAGTACTTGGTGAAGTTCTCGTCACACCATCATTAAAATCTATACCATCTTCCCATCCACAGTCACCAAGACCTCGTCCTGGTTCCCCGACATACACGCATAAATTACCAAGCCCTCGTAGCCCACGGAAACCAAAAAACAACAAACACCACAGCAACACACAGAAGAACAGTGCTAAAGTAAGTTCCAAATCTATTTAAAAACTTTTTATTTTCATCTTTCACTTTTCAGATCTAATAATACAATGATTTTCAAAAGTGATAACTATTAAAACTAGACCTGCAAGCAGCACTGAACCGGCTTTCAGGAATCAGACAGGAAGAGCGTCATACAATAGCCCGTTTATCGAGCTACCAAACGATACTTTAGTTGTTTTGATTCAGTGACACAGATGGAGAAATCGCGTCTTTCTCAAGAGTACTAATTTTTTAATATTTTTTTTTCTCAAAATATCAGATATTTTTTCGACTACTTCGAATGCACGGGATTTTTCTACTTTTTCTCATGTCCCTTATCTAGTGACAGCCAATTCTATTTTTGAATTGTCAGATATCCTCTCATCGTCTCATATAACAACTTTTCATCTTCAACGGAATTATCAGTGAAATGAAATTCGATCGTTTGTCTGTTACCGCTCATTACTTCAGTCAGTTATATAGAAGGACACATCATGTTTGTCATGTTTGACATCACTTCCCGTTTCTTCACGTGCTTGTTACACAACTCCCGTAGCAATGATCTCTGTGTTAAAATTATATTTGGGATGTATTTAACGAGCTCTATCACATATTTTATAATGACTGACACCAATATTGTCCTTTAAAAGAAAGGAAAATTATCAAATATCCAATATTTTTTCGACTAGTTCCGGTTTACAGATCATTGTCGGGATAGATTTAACAAGTGGCATGGGAACTTAACTTCCTATACCAGAAGTTTCAGAAAGATCCATTGGACAGTTGTTAAAAGAAAGGAAAATTAGAGGACCATTATCAAATATTTAACAATATTTAGTAAATAATTGGTATTCTGATATCATTTTGTTTAGGACTATTTACCTCCCTTATACAATTAGAATTTTTTTTTGTAGTAATATAACGATTTTTCGAGTTTTTTTTAAAGATTGGGTCCCTTTTTGGACCCTTTATATCATATTGAGGCTTTTAAATTGGATTCACACCCTAGACAACTGTTAGGACTCTCAGTGACAGAGGTTTCAGAAATGAAATAAGAGTAGTTTTCGAGTTAAAAGCGTCTGAATAGGCTCCAGAAAGGAAAATACTAGATTTTGAGGGTAACATAATATATTGCCTAACCAGTGAATTTGTATGATTTGGATGCCATAAGATCATCCATTATTTGGACTAACCAATGAGACTTTAGTTGTTTTGATTCGGTAAAATCTGGCGTAGTGATCACTTTTTTCACATCATCACCATTTTTTTTTTACTTTTTACGTTTTTTTTTCAAAATATCGGATATTTTTTCGACTACTTCAGAGGTTTTTGGTTCGTTGTCGGGATAGTTTTAACAAGTTGTTTTGATGCTTAACTTTCTGTACCAGAAGTTTCAGAAACATCCATTGAGCTGTTTTCAAAACAAAGAAAAATAGAAGAGCATTTTCAGTAATTTAAGGATTTTTCAACTTTTTTCAAATGAAATGAAATGAAATGGGGTTTAACGTCCTACTGTTCTGCTCCTAACCTGGGCTAATGAAGACGGGCATATGCCATACAGTGTGCTATGAGGGAAATTTTGCCCGGACAGCGGCACTACGGCCTACTCTTATATCGAATTCCAACTGCCAAGGGATCTTTTACGTGCATGCCAATGTGTACACGGGACCTCGGTTTTTCGTCCCATCCGAACGACTAGACAGCTTTCCTTGTCAGCCCCTCCGTCCTGCATCACTGACAAGGGAGAACCACGCCGGAAAATCTGGATGAACTTTCTCGGCCAATGCAGGGATCGAACACCCGACCTCCAGGCTAGCGAGCTAGCGTCTTACCCACTTAGCCACGTGATCCCCAACTTTTTTCAAAGATCGGGGCTCTTTTTGGACCACTTATATTATTTCAATGCTTCTATTTTGGGATTCACGCCATAGACCACCGATAGGACTCTGAGTAAAACAAGTTTAAGAAAAATTGTAGGTGTCGTTTTCGAGAAAAAGGCGTCTCAAAAGGCTCCAAACCGGAAAATACTAGATTTTTCGGCGTATCATAATTTATTTTCTCACTATCGAAATCGTATCATTCAGATGTCATATGATAGTCCATTAATGGAGCTATCTAACGACACTTTAGTTCTTTTGGTCCGCTAACATCTGACGGAGAAATCAAGTTTTGAATGCTTCCGGTATGCAGATTATTGTCGGGATAGTTTTAATAACCGGTTTGGGCAATTAAATAGTCACAGTGCTCTGTAATGATATATTACATTATCTGATCAGATAAAATGCCCCTGAGAAATCCTATGTTCAAAAGTGTTAAAAATGCAAAAATATCGGAGAATTAAATTTCAATAACTCAATCGTTAGAATCGTAATTAGGTCAGCTATCTGATTGTGTAACCTTTTTGTAAAAATATGTTTAAATAATAAAGTAATAGAGCATTTCCCAAAATTTCACGATTTTTCAACTTTTTTCAATTTTCAGTCCCTTTTTTATCCTATTCCAGACATTTCAAAGTCTTATTGGATGGCTTCATGCACAAGATTATCGAATGGACTCTCGATAGATTTTAAGCGTGCCATATTTTGCTGCCTGGTCATAGTATCGGTATGCATTGGGTATCACATGATAGTCCATTCATCGAGCCACTCATCGCTACCTTAATTGGTTTATTCCGGTGATATAGGACAGAGAAATCTTGTTTTTTCCAAAAGTACCCATTTTTTGCATTGTTTTCAACATATCGGACCAGCGGTCACAGTGGATCAATTTTGAGTTGCATAAAAATATGCAGACATTCCAAAATTTTGCGTTTTTGCCCTCTACATCTGCGTGACTTAGAGCCTCTCAAAATACTCAATATAGAAGCATGTAAAGTTGTTTTGTGAACAACCCTATTTTAAGCATCCTTATTTCATTGATAGGCGTACGGTATTTAGTCTAATGATGACTGGAGGTAAACGGCATGAATGAAATAAGAGGAAATATAAAAAAACTATGGAGACTACGTGCAGTAGATGTGTGTAAATGCCGGGTGAAGCACATACATGTAAATTGTACAAACTACGACATAGAATAATCTAATTATTCTCACGTCAGGGAAATTTTCTGCGCGTAAATTACTCAGCGTCCGTCAATATTTGCGTTTATTTTGAAAAAAAATGCGTGAAATATGCAGATTTTTGCGTGACTGCGACCTCTGTATCGGACATTATTTTGACAACTTCCGGTCTACGGATCATTGTTGAAATTGCTTTATCCCTTGTTATGGTCATATAACTTCATGCTGGTCGTAAAAAGAAAAAAGTAAGATACAAAATGGGCAAAAAATTCGAAAAAAAAGGGCGATAACTCTGAATGAAAATTATACTACTGGAATCGGATTGACTTAGGTATCCAAAAATGTAGGTCAAATTTGAATATTTTGAAAATTAACAAAAATTGTCTCGTAAATGACATGTTTGCAATATTCGAATGATATAAGTCAACGACAAAGATTCGAAATTTCGAAATATTCAACTGCTATCGTTTCGGAAAAGACTCAGGGTTTCCGGTAATGTCATTTGTTTCAAAATAGGGAAATAATTGACAAAACTACGGCCAGTTTCTGATTTTTGGGCACTGTACCAAATTCGACCACTTCCGGTCTGTGCAGAAGTTTCCAAAGTAGTCGATCAGGAATTTATTTTGTTCAGGAATTTTTAATTTGTTGTCAATTGATTCAATTAGCAGGCATGACGTCCAAAGATGAATTACTATCCAGCATTGGTTTGGGCGATCACTATGATCTTGGAACAATAACTAAACTTCCCTTTGCAAAAATTAAAAATAGGCTGGTACTAGGTAGGCATCATTAATAAATTTCCGACCAATACAGAGCACCAGTCTATAATTACTGCTTTACATGACGACAGGGTGACGTTTGATGACAACGGTATTCGAAGTAGGCTGGTCAGACTGAAGACAAATTGTAATAAATCTTTAAAATTATATGACGATTATCTCAACAGCCTCTTTTTCCCCGGGATAGTGGAGATAGTGGATAAGACACCATCGGCAGATACCAGCACGATACATTTAATAAATAGAGGGACACAGACATCTGTCGATGCTGTGACTTTGACCAAGTTAAATAGGAAAAATAAGAATTTATTAAGAAGGATCAATAGGTATATATAAACAATTTTGCGATTAAAAAATCGACTAAGGAAGACCTCAAAAGAATTGATTCGCGCAAAGGCTAATAATAATAAAGTTTTGACAAATAAAAAAACTGGTTGTAAGTCCCAACCTCGTGGGGAAAAAGTAATTTGTATGATGTCGAAAATCAAAGATACACTTCACAATGCCATAAAGTACATTGCAAAAAGTTTACTTGAGTATCGAGATGACTATAATCTTTCGTGTTCGAGTTCTGCCATGCCTCACAACAAATTACCAGAAACCGTGTTCAGTCATCTCGATCGCACCCTCGTCTAATATTTTTGGCAACGAAGCGTCCATTTTATATAAAATGAATAAATCTGATGAATGTATAAAAAATCTTTCACCTGATCAACGTAATTTGGTCTTAATGGATGCTGAAACGATAACTAAAAATCAACTTTCTAAATTTAGGCAAAGACAGGAAGAAATCGAAAGAAAAAAGCTAGCGGTTCTTTTTGCGAAAAAGAATGTAAGGGGAAACGTGGGATTAGGAAAAAAGAGCGCCTAACAACAGAAATTGTCGGGGTAGGTCTTTGGAAAAGTAAAGAGGGTATGGAAAATGGGCTTTTACAACTAACAGATAGGGAAATGAAAGAGGCACTGAAGGCACAGCTCCGGTTTCATAGGGATGTTTTAAATCAGCAACTTTCCAATAAGTCTATATTTTATTTTTCTGTCGCCGGTAAGGATCACTCGATTCCAGTTTTAATTGACCTGGTTGATCTTACCAAACTTTCAATGCCACTTTTTAGCGGTTATAATAACATAACAATTTATTCATTCTCCAATTCTAATTTATT